TCCAGAGTGTTGAAGCGGTTCCAGGAGCGGTTGACGTTGGACCACGGCAAAGGAGCTGGAAGAAAACCGGGACCGGAGAACAAAAAGACGGAGGGAAAGGTAAAGCGGATGATTAAAGCAAATCCCAACGTCTCAAGCCGTGATTTGGCTAAAAAGATCGGCATGTCGCAGAGCTAGGTCCAGAATGCAAAGAAGAGAGCTGGACTACATACATACAAGGTACAGAACTTCCCAAACCGCGATGAGCGGCAACAATCGACGGCTAAAACTCGGGCACGGAAGCTCTACGAGAAGATGCTGACAAAATATGGCTGCTGTGTGATGGACGACGAAACGTATATAAAAGCCGATTTTAAGCAACCCCGGAAGTTGGAGTTTTTCACCGGCAAGAGCACGTTCGATGTGGACGACAAATTTAAGAAGAAGAAAATGTCGAAGTTCGCCTCCAAATATCTCATTTGGCAGGCCATCTGCTCTTGCGGACTGAGGAGTGAGCCTTTCGTGACAAAGGGCACAGTAAATGGCGAGATCTACAAATCTGAGTGCCTCGAGAAGCGCCTTTTACCGTTCTTGCAGCAGCACGATGAAGCTCCGCTATTTTGGCCAGATTTGGCATCATGCCACTATTCTAAAAGTGTCCTGGAGTGGTATGAGACCAATTCTGTCCATTTTGTTCCAAAGGACATGAATCTGCCAAACTGTCCGGAGCTGCGCCCGGTGGAGCAGTACTGGGCAATAATGAAGCGGGAACTTCGGAAGAGCAAGAAGACAGTCAAAGACGAGAAGGACATGTTAAGAAAATGGAAAAAAAACTGAGAAACTGGTACCGGATGACACTGTAAAGACTTTGATGGAGGGCATCAAGCGAAAATGCGTTCAATTTTACACTCAAGACTCCATCGATTAACTTTTCTTTTGATTTTTGAAGTAAATATATGTATAAAACTACCCTAAAATTTTGGTTTGATTCTAAACATTATAAGAAAATTGGCATGACATTTTCGGTGTCGCAATAATTTCGTGTTCGCCCTTTAATTAATTAATTTATTTATCTTTATTAGGGAGGCTTTCAGCCTTGGGCTGGTACGCCTCCATTCTCGCGTGATCAACAAAACGCGGCGGCCAAATCCCGCGCAAGGAAGCTGTGTCGAGAGTGCTTAACGAAACCGATGTGTGTGGTTATGGATGACGAAACCTACATCAAGGCAGACGCAAAGCAGATACCGGGGCTGGAGTTCTACGTTGCCAAATCACGGTTTGATGTTCCGGAAGACATAAGGAAGCAGAAAGTGGACAAATTCGCCAAAAAATACATGCTCTGGCAGGCCATTTGCCAATGCGGTAAACTGAGTAAACCGTGCATCACAATGGGTACCATCAACAGCGAAATTTACCGCATCGAGTGCCTCCAGAAGCGTCTGTTGCCCTTCCTGCGGTCCCACGGAGGCGAGACATTACTTTGGCTGGACCTGGCATCATGCCATTACGCGCGATCGACGTTGGATGGGTACAGAGACAATAACGTTGTTTTTGTACCAAAAACCGCCAACCCTCCAAATTCACCAGAGATTCCGGTGGAAAGATTTTGGGCCACAATGAAGGCCAAAGTTCGAAAATCGTCCAAGGTGTTTAAGAACGAGCTGGAGTTGAAGAAAGAATGGATGAAAGTGACCAAAAAGGTCGGTTCCACCATTGCACAAAATGTAATGAGGGGTCTTAAGGGAAAGGTGCGGGCTTTCAGCGATGGAAAGGAAATTGAATAAAGTAATTATGCCGAAACATAATCCATGTGTATTAATTCATTCCCTGACAGTTTCAAGAAAATCCGACTTAAAATAAATTTTTGGCAAACACTTTTGTCTGGTGCATTTTTTTTCGAGTGCAGGCCTTAGCACTTCACCTTGCTTCAGACCTAATATGGTCTTACAGAACTTGTGCACTTTGGCATTATCCGGTTTCTTCCAGGCATGTCTAAACGCAACACTACTCTGCGTACTGCCTTTTTTACACACCACCAAGAGCATTGAGTTGTACGCTCCGTACCAGTGCTCGATAGAAAACACCAAAAGCAGCAAACAAGGCACTTGTAGGGTAGGATGGTGCAAAACGCACCGTTTAAGCAAAATCGTCAATGGCTGGCAAATGGAAGCTAAAATCAAGAAGAAAGTAATGGCGTTTGGTTCATTACCATGTTTTCTACAAAGATCGAGTGATTTAGAACTACAAAAGGATGATTTTCCATGACTTTCAAGGTATTTTTTAAATTGCTTCCAAAATGATAGCGGGGCAAAACGCCTGATTCATGATGCAATATGCACCACAACATTGGGGCAAGACGCACGACAACAATGGCCAAAACGCACCACAACATTGGGGTAAAATGCACCCCATGGTAAACAAACCATAACCCCTGCAAGTAGATAATGCAAAGGGAAGCGGTATTTCAAATGATTATTTCTTTATGTTACATCAGAAAAAAAGGTCTCAAAATCTCAATAGAATGTTAAACTGTGTTTCATCAAGTAAAATATCTAAAAATTATACGAAACGAAAATTTGTTATTTTTTTTTTGTGATATATGATGTTAAAAGCTTAATTTACAGTCGATGATTTTAACAACTATGTCCTGTTTTGCACAAAATGCAATTTTTTTAAGGAATCAGTAGGTCAATACATGATTTTATGATCAAGAATTATTTGTGAAACCTCCAGTTGAAAACAATCACAAACCGTTACCCGGAAAATGCATCGGAGGAAAAGTTATCGCTGTTTTTCTAAAAGTGGGCATTTTACCCCAGGGGTGCATTATGGGCTGTTCTCCCTTACCGGTGCCCGTGCATAATTGTTTGCACCGGTATATGGATCTTCGGCAAGCACCAAAGCCGAGTGTTTCTGACTTTGGCAAACACCGCAGCCGAGTTTTTTCGATTTCGGAAAACACGCTTGCTGCTCGCAGGAGTTTTCTTTTGGCGACTTATGAAAGATTATCTTGTTACACAAGGTAGAACTTAAACGCGACTAGAGCTGATAGACGAGTGGTCAAAGCATTGGTCTCGTAATGCTTATGTCCATTGTTCCATTCCGGTCTGTCACCCTCCATTTTTTTTCTGTCAACATTGTTTTTATAGGGTAGATCTATGAAATTCATTTCGATTTCTTTTGGCTAAAAAGCATTACGCAATCTTATGAATCTTATGAGCTCAAAGGATCATCTACCAGGATTATTAAACATACGCAAATCACCCACTTCGCAAGAGCGTGTTTCTGTTGCCGTCCACCCACTGGTATTTCTTGGCTTTATGTTAACTAATTGAGCTTATTGTTTTCACACGATTTGAGTCAATCTAATAATGATAACTTATATCCAACAACAACAAAACAGCTACCATGGCTGATACGGAGCTAGTAGAAGGTAGCGCGTTGTTTTTATTTATGGGAAAACAGCCCAAAATGCACCTCGCGCAAATCGCTCGATGCGATTTTTCATAGCATTCCCGTTTTTAATTCATAAATTTGACAAGTCACAGTGCTAGTTTAGAATTTGAACTAGCATTTCGGCAAAATTAAGAGTGGAATAGCTATAATAAATCAAATCGGGCGTTTGGCCCGGGTGCATTTCGGGCTGTTCTACCCTACATGAATGGTGAGAAGTTCTGTTCACCCACCGCTATTTGGGTGCTTACATTTGTGCTGGTGTGCTGATGCTAGTGAACTAAAGCTGTACTTATAAATAGTCAGCATAATGTAAACAGGGCGTCAGCATCTACTAGCATGAGATTTTAGGAGCCTCTGAAATTCATGCTAGTTAGTTGAGTTGGTTGAGCAAGTGAACCAGCATATAATATATTATTTATTATCCAATAGTGAACGGCGCCGGTGGTGTAGTGGTAAGCGCGATTCCTCTCACCCCAGCAGGCCTGGGTTCAATCCCAGTCGGCGCCGCCGGGATGTTCTGAGGCATAACATCTCTGATCACGCCTTCCTTCGGATGGGAAGTAAAGCCGTTGGTCCCCGGTTCATGAGTTGATGGGTCGATAGGTAGGGTCCAGGTGTGAAGCCCCAGGCTGAAAGCCTCCCTAATAAAGACAAATTAATTAATTACTTGACCAAAGATTAACTTTTAAAGATCACATTGAGGGCATTCGAGCCAAATGTAATAAATATATAAAATGTTTGTATCCTCTTAAGAACAGGAAATCCAAACTTTGCCTGACGAATAAACTTATGGTCAATATGGTCTACTTGTTGCACTACCAGGAAAAAAGCACTTCAAATTTTGAAGATGATTTTCAAGTTGGCTCCCTGGTACAGTCTAACCAAAATACATAAAATTTCGAATGTTGAGACTTTAGAACAATTGTCCAACAAAATAATTAATAATTTCAGGCAAAAATCGCTGCAATCTTCAATTGCAACGATCAATTCCTTGTACACTTCGATAAGATTTAGTTTTAGTTTTTAGTTTTAAGAAGTCTATTGTTATACTGGCATGCAGGTATAGAAAACCTGTTTAAAATACTGAATTGCCAAGGCAAGAACAATGTAAAAACGCTAAGATATAGATCATAACAATTAATGCTGGTAAGTTACTGTAGTAGCTGGAGCACCTAGGATAAAATGAGATGTAATTTATTTTAAATTTGAAGCAAATAAAGTGTAAAAAAGATATGATCCACGATCTTGAAGAGGAATTATTTAAAACCACAATCAAGTACAAAAACAATTGTAAAACCCATACTCTGACACGAGCTTCTTGCTGTGCACCATCGTATGAATATTCCCCCCAAATCATTATTATTTATTCCAACAAAAGTGAGATTTGATAAACGGCATTGCAAAGAAAAAAGAGATGCAGGATTTCATGGGGTTGCGGGAAAACCAACAGGGAAAACACGTTCTCTCATCACCAACAAAGATAAAGAAATCTGAAAAACTGAAAACCAAAAAAAAAAAAAAACAAACGACACACCAAATGGACATCCAGTAGCATCTCCACTTACCTCTTCGTGCTCCCGCTGAAACTTTTCCTTTTTCCTAAGTGCTTCTTGAATTTTCAGCTGCATACCCATGGTAGAATTTTTATCAGACCACACCGGAAAAAAATATGAAAATAAGAAATAAAAAAAATGAATAAACCAAGTGAAAAAAACACAAATTATTCTTTTTGTTCCTATGCATAACTACACAGATCAAGAGCGGAAAAAGAAAGTAGCCCTAAACGGCTGGCCAGTCACACCACAGAATGGATGCGATGGAAAAACAGGCGTCGGAAGTTTTCTTTTTCCGCCCAACCGCCGGCACCATTTTCTTGTTCTGGCAATTGAATGAAACGAGTGGAAAATAATTAAAACTAAAACACTGGCAAAAAGTGAAACAATTTAAGGCACTCGAGAAGCTCCACCACCTTCTTTTCCACCGGCACCACCGGCAATGCCTTCATCCATCTTCCATCCGAAGATGAAGAAACGTCCGAGGTCCGAAAGCAGTCAGTGAGCCGGCGGAAAGTTCGGCTTGGTGGAAAATATTTATGCACATAACAAATTTCTGTCCGAAAAGTGCCTCTCGACCGCGACCGCGGGCGGAAGTACTGCAGTTTTTTCCTTCTTCTTCTTCTCACTCGCGAAAGGACTCACCCTCTGGATGGTTTCTTCGAAACTTGGCTGCGGTCCACCGCCGTTCATTTGAAAATGTCTCAGTCTTTCGTTTTGCAGCTGTCGGAAAGAAAGGGGGGAAAAATGGAAAAACACATTTGAAATATATTTAGGCAGATCGTTAGCATTAAGTCATTTTTTTTTGTGTTGGTGAAACGGAAAGGGTGAAGTGGAAATTCCAATAGCGTGGTGCAACCACGCGAGTTTTCCTCTCAGGAACGAACGGACGAACGAACGAAACGAAGACGATGGCGACGGCGACAAACCGATGGGACGACGGTGTGGAAGAATAAGATTCCGGTTATTCTTTACGTATTTTTTGCAGGGCATTTTGGAGGTGACTTGCAGGGGAGGTGTTATGGGAAAGTGCAAAGTTAGGCACTTGCAAATGCGGGGGGGTAAATTTGCATAATAAATTAAAACAATTTCGCTCCACTTAATGACGTAATTTTTTTTTTCTACAGACATGGCACAATGGGACATTTTTGTAATGATTATTCGTATTTCCAATCAAATTAAAACATATATTTCATCTGTATTGCCCCAAATTTGGAATCCGGAATTCGGAAACTTCGGTATTCGGGTCGGTATAGAAGTCCGTTAGCTCCCGAATTCGAAGCAAAACAGATTAAAATTACGTATTTAACTTTTTTATAATAACCGCATTTGTATGTTTATGACTTTTTAATTTTGATATTAAAACAAAAATACAGCCAATACCGAAAATACGGAGAAACCACCCTACTTTAAGCTCTTTAAAATTTCCCGTAATTTTCCTGAAGTTAATTCATCATTTGCCTTGTAGTTCTTTGATCTAGCTTTAAGCATCCCCAATTTTCCTGAAGTACACAATACTTCGTCATGGAACTTCCTGTAAAATCTCTAAACTTTCCTAATGTTCCTAAAATTTTCAAGAAGTTTTCGGAAGTTCTCTTAAGTTCCAATAATTTTCTTGATATTTATGAAACGTTCCTGAAAACCTCCCTAGTTTCCAAAATTTTTTGGAACATTCCTGGATTGCGCTTTTTCTAAGGTAAAATCCAGTTGAATTTTCAGCTAACCCATCGTAAAATAGACAGCTAATAATCTATATTTGTGAATTTTGATAGGGAGATTAATAGCACTAAAGTATCGAAAGTATTCTATATTAATATATATCCAGTTTGGGATTATTCAGGAGGACGATGCGCAGCCTTCTCCCGGAAAGGTACCCAAAATCGATATTCGTATGGATCAGCAAACGTACATGCGGTAAATAGTAGAACTTGTCACTACAAATGCATTTCAAAGAATCATTCGGCCAATCAAAGACGGCTAGTACTAGTACCTCACTCGCTGTTATCAATCGATAATCCAAGAACCACCTCGTATTCCGTCTTCGGTATTTCGTTTGCAATGGATTTCTCAAACAATAAAAAAAAATAATGTGAAATTCATGTCGGACAGAGTGGAGAGTAGGGGTTTAAGGTCTGAGGTCACGTGTCCGCCATTTTTGTTTTTTTTTTTAAACTAGTGTTTGAACCCATTTATCTCGAATATGGTAAAGATGATCGAAAAATCAAACTGATAATCTTTTCTAACTATGCTGTGGAATTGTTGCAACGTTTCATTTCGCTTTTCTCTGTTTCACGTGAAGCAAACCAAAAATTTATTACAATGAATGTTAGTTCCATTGCCGAGATTACCGATGATGTAGACATATCTTCAAAAGCAGTTGGGAACCCTGCTTCGCCAGGTAAATTACATAGTATATGTGCTACCGAAGCCTGTGATACCGCACGCCACTCAAGTAACTCCGTATTCCAGAACTGCTCGGATGTCGACTACCTCAGCATATATTATCAGAACGTCAGAGGTCTTCGTACTAAAGTCGATAGCCTCTTTACCTCGGTTTGCGATCCGGTAATGGACGTTCTGATTTTCACCGAGACTTGGTTAAACGATCAGTTTCATTCATCGCAGCTGTTCGGAAATGGATACAATGTGTACCGCAATGACCGTGAGAGAGGTGGTGGTGTGTTGATTGCTATCTCAAAACGGTACAGTTCATCAAAATCTGTTATCGAAGATGACAGCGGCACAGAACAGCTCTGGGCTAATGTGAATGGAGGCTCTCGGACAATCTGCCTAGGTGTCGTATACATCCCTCCTGATTATTCTACATCTGCGGCCTACATTGATAAACATATCGGATCCGCGTTAGCCATGTCTGAGAAACTGCAACATCAAGACTTTCACCTGCTGTTTGGCGATTACAACCAGCCTGGCCTTTGTTGGACGCCGTCAGCTACTGGACAGGATTACATTGCCTCTGTGGGCTCTACGTTTACTGCTGCAAGTGCTTCACTCGTGGATGGAATGGCGTTACTCGACATGAAGCAGATAAACCCTACTGTGAATTACCTGAACCGAACCTTGGACTTGATATTTGCTAATTCCGATGCAGTTAAACACTGTGATGTAATTGAAACACCTGAAGCTCTTATTGATGCTGACCCGTTCCATCCTCCAGTTTTGGTCAACCTTGGCTGTCCGCCTCTGGGTCGGTACAGTGACATACCTGAGGAAAGGGAGTTCTACTTCTATCGTGCTGATTATGCTGGCTTGAGTGATGCTTTACGGACCACAGATTGGTCATTTCTGGATGTTGCTGACGTGAATGTGGCTGTTTCACTTTTCAACTAAACACTGACATCATTTCTTCGTGAATATGTCCCTCGACCCAGACCAAAGCTTAGGCCAGTTTGGTCAAATGCACGGCTTCAACGGCTTAAATGCAAGCGTTCTGCTGCTTTGAAGAAATACTCTCGTGCGCGAGATGTGATCACCAAACGCAACTTTTCTAAAGCCAGCAACCGGTATAGAAACTATAACCGTCATCTATATTCGACATATATTTTGCGTAAGCAAAATGAGCTGAAACAAAATCCAAAACGTTTCTGGTCTTCCGCCAACGATAAACGTAAAGAAAGTGGTCTTCCAGCGCAAATGGTTCAAGGTGACCATTCAGCCAGCACACCTGAAGATATTTGTAACCTCTTCGCTCAGCAGTTCTCTGATGTTTTCGCCTCTGGCAGGGCATCAGCTCAAGAGGTCCAGAAAGCCTCGCAATTCGTTCCTGAGAACGTTTGTGATATAACCATAACTAGCTTCACACAAAACGAAGTTGAAGATGCTATGAAACAGTTGAAATCGTCAGTGTCTCCTTGTCCAGATGGAATACCCTCGATTGTTCTGAAGAATTGTGCTACTTCGCTATCAAAACCGTTACAGATGATCATCAATCAGTCGCTTCGTCAGGAAACTTTTCCCGAATGCTGGAAGAAGACATTCATCTTTCCCGTGTTCAAAAAAGGAAACAGAGCAGATGTTACGAACTATCGTGGCATCACCTCGCTTTGTGCTGGCTCAAAGCTCTTTGAGATTTTAATTGGAGGCTTATTGCAGCGTAGTGTTGCGCAATATATCTCAACTGATCAGCACGGCTTCTTCCCTGGACGGTCGATTAACACAAATCTAGTGGAGTTCTGTTCCTTTTGTCTGCAACACATGGAGAAAGGAGCACAAGTCGATACGGTGTACACGGACATCAAAGCAGCATTTGACCGTGTTGATCATGCTATATTGTTGGCTAAACTAAGGCACTTAGGTGCTTCCGATGCTTTTGTGTGCAGGTTAGAATCGTTCCTAGCAAATCGCTCACTTTCTGTGAAATTGGGAAACGCTGAGTCGCGAGTCTTCCACTGTACATCAGGTGTCCCTCAGGGCAGCAACGTCGGGCCGTTACTCTTTTCGCTTTATTTCAACGATGTGTGCTTATTACTTCCTCCAGGATGCAAAATCGTGTACGCTGATGACCTTAAAATATACCTTGAGGTTCGTACAGTTGATGACTGCATTAAGATGCAGAAATTGATTGACACGTTTTATGAATGGTGTGTGCTCTGTAATCAGTTTCAGCCGAAAGAAGAGCACTATAGAATATCTTTATTCCATAAATTGCCAGCAAGTTCAGCGTGTGACAGTTGTGAAGGATCTTGGAGTTCTGTTGGACACAGGACTCTCATTCCATAACCACTACAATAGTATTATTGCTAAAGCGAACAAAAACATTGGTTTCATCATGAGAGTTGGAAAGGAGTTTCGTGACCCGTATTGTTTGAGATCTCTTTATTATGCGCTTGTACGCTCCATCCTGGAGACGGCGGCGGTAGTTTGGAGCCCCTACACCGATTCCGAAGAGAATCTCAGAGAAATTGCATTTCCAGGTTCAGAGAAGGTCCGACGAGTAGTTCAGAGAATTTTCGATGAGAAGTTCAGAGAACTTCTGAAGAAAATCTTTGAAAAATCCGATGAAAAGTTCAAAGAACTTCGGACGAAAATTTCAGAGAGCATCAGAGGCGAAGTTCAGAGAAGTTCCAACGAGTAGTTCAGAGAATTTTAGACGAGAAGTTCAGCGAACTTCCGAATAGAATCTCAGAGAAATTCCAATTCCATTTACAGGTTCAGAGAAGTTCCAACGAGTAGTTCAGAGAACTTCTGAAGAGAATCTCTGGGAAATTCCGATGAAAAGTTCAAAGAATTTCGGACGAAAAATTCAGAGAACATCCAAGGCGAGGTTCAGAGACGTTCCGACGAGTAGTTCAGAGAGTTTTCGACAAGAAGTTCAGCGAACTTCCGAAGAGAATTTAAGAGAAATTCCATTTCCAGGTTCAGAGAAGGTCCGACGAGAAGTTCAGAGAATTTTTGACGAGAAGTTCAGAGAACTTCTGAAGAGAATCTCTCTGGGAAATTCCGATGAAAAGTTCAAAGAACTTCGGACAAACATTTCAGGGAACATCTGAGGCGAGGTTCAGAAAAGTTCCGACATGTAGTTCAAAGAGTTTTCAACAAGAAGTTCAGCGAACTTCCGAAGAGAATCTCAGAGAAATTCCAGTTCCATGTCCAGGTTCAGAGAAGTTCCGCCGAGTAGTTCAGAGAACTTCTGATGAGAATCTCTGGGAAATTCCGATGAAAAGTTCAAAGAACTTCGGACAAACATTTCAGAGAACATCTGTGGC